AAATAAATAAAATCTTTAAAAAAAATAAATAAATAAATAAAAAAATAAAAAAGAATATCCAGAGAACAAAAAAGAGCTCTCGGAAACTACAAATGAGTGCAGACAGAAGAGTTAGAAGATAAAGTTGAGGAAATATCTCAAAAGTAAATAAAAAGAGGGGCCAGCCCTGTGGCCTACTGGTTAAGTTAGGCACGCTCCGCTTCAGTGGCCCAGATTCAGTTCCTGGGCATGGATCTACACCACTTGTGGGCGGCCATGCTGTGGCGGCGGCCCACATACAAAATAGAGGAAGACTGGCACAGGTGTTAGCTCAGGGCGAATCTTCCTTAAGCAAAAAGAGGAAGACTGGCAACAGATGTTAGCTCAGGGCCAATCTTCCTCAGCAAAAAAAAGGTAAATAAAAAGACAAAGAAATGAAAATAAGAAAAGACATTCCAAGAGGTACAACAGGCAACAAAAAGGCATTCCAGAAAAAGAAAACAGAAAAGAGAGAAGAAATTTGATTATCAAATATAGAACATAAAAATATTCCACAAACCTAAAGAAAAGGTTTAATTGAAAGAATGGGAATCTTCTCAATAGAAGCTAAAAGAACTAGTTTTAAAATTCTGAAGGAAAATAATTGCCAATAATTTCCAGAGTTGTATTAATAAATTAATAAAGTTGAGAAGAGACTAAACGTACTTTTAAATGTATAAAATCTCAAAAACTACTTCTCCTCAAGGATGTGGTCTATAAAACGAGAAAATAAGTCAAGAAAGAGAAAGATGTGGGATCTAGGGAACAGAGGATCTAACACGTGAAAGAGGTGGAGACCAGATGTGCAGCACCCAAACTGGTGGGGAAGAAAAAAACTGAAGGATTACCTGTTGTGTTCAACACTAATGAGACATTTTACATATAGCAAAGAGTCTGGGAGACAATAGGGAATAGGTAATTAGTACAAAGAAAACTAAACAAAAAAGGCAATCTGTTAAAGGGGATATAATTATACTATAAAAGATGGGTCAACATGAACCATAAACTGATTACTGATGTAACTAAAAACCGTGATGGGGCTAGTGCAGAGTAGAGTGAACTCTGTATCTTCCACAGAAGGAACAGATAATGTCCAAGACAAAAAAAAAATAAAAAATAACAATTATGCATATTATTTAGAATACACAGGTTAATTCAAGAAAACACAGCTAAGTTATCACCTGTGGGGAGTGGGACTCTGGTAGTGAGAAGGAATGGGGCAGAGACTGCTATTTTTCATTCAGTCTCTGACTTTCAAGTTAAAAGATAAAAATTCAAGTTCAGAGAAGAAAAAGAAAAGCCATCCAAACTAAAACATGAGACATTTAAATAGGGAATATCAGTGATATACGTTACTTACCACACCGTATAATTGGCCGCATTTAACTCAATAGCATCTCTGGTTAGTTTGAAAGCTCGTTCACTTCTTTCATCACGCTGCAGAACAGCCCGGAAATAATCATAAACATCTCTAACTGGAGAGAGAGCACACAACTGCATTAGGACTATCTTGTTTAAAACTAGCACTGTAGGAGAAAATGTTGTTATACCCTATGAGGAAAGATACCTGATTGCAGGCACATAATTTAGAACAATAAGCAAAAGAAAGAAAGTGAAGTGACCGCCACTCTGATGTTTTTAGTGTCACAGCCGCAACATACGTGAACTGTGCTTACTGCTCGTGTCTGTGTAGACTCCACATCTCCCAAAGACCTTACATATTACAGTGAAGAGTGCATACATCCAAATATATTCACTTAGCTGTTTTTCTCACACTTTATTTTGATCGGCTTTTTAACTGAAAAGTAATATACACAATGGTAGAAAACTCAAACAGTACAAAAAGGTTCACACTAAATTTCCGTTCTACTAAACTCCCAGTCCTTCTCCTCAAAAGTGACCAGTATTAACTGATTCTAGTGTATCCTTCCAAATACACTTTATGCATACAAGTATATGTTCTAATTCCATCCTATTTTTTTACACAAATGAGATCACATCAACATTCTATGTTCTGGGACTTGCTTTTTTTACTCATACATTATTTTTTAATTAATTATTTTATTGAGGTAACCGGTTTATAACATTATATAAGTTTCAGGTGTACATCATTATATTTCAGTTTCTAGATCATGTTCACCACCCAAAGTCTAATTGCCACCTGTCACCATACACATATGCCCTTTTACCCCTCATGCCCTCCCCACTTTCCCCCTGGTAACCACCAATCTATTCTCTGTATCTACAAGTTTGTTTATTGTTGTTTTTTTTATCTTCCACATGAGTGAAATCATATGGTTTTTGGCTTTCTCCATCTGACTTATTTCACTTAACATAATGCCCTCGAGGTCTATCCACGTTGTTGCAAACAGCAAGATTTCATCCTTTTTTTATGTGTGTGTGTATATATTATATATATTTATAATATTATATATAACATTATATATTATATATACATATATTATATATTTATATTATATATTATATATATTGTATATACTATACATATGTATAGTATACATATACTATGTATAGTATACTATACATATATTATATATTTATATTATATATATTGTATATACTATACACATGTATACGTATACGTATACATGTGTATAGTATACATATAGTATACATATGTATGTACACATATACTATGTATAGTATACTACACATATATTATGTATAGTATACTACACATATATTATATATATATTATATATAATATTATACATATGTAATATATAATATTATAAATATATATAATATATACACACACACACCACATCTTCTTTATCCATTCATTCATTGATGGGCACTTAGGTTGTTTCCAAGTCTTGGCTATTGTGAATAATGCTGCAATGAACATAGCAGTGCATATATCTTTTCAAATTAGTGTTTTCTTTGAATAAACACCCAGAAGTGGAATAGCTAGATCATATGGTAGTTATATTTTTAATTTTTTCAGGAATCTCCACAGTTTTCCACAGTGGCTGCTCCACTTTACACTCCTACCAACTGTGCACAAGGATTCCCTTTTCTCCACATCCTCTCCAACACTTGTTATTTCTTGTCTTTTTAGTAACAGCCATTCTGACGGGCGTGAGGTGGTATTGCATTGTAGTTTTGATTTGCATTTCGCTAATAATTAGTGATGTTGAACATCTTTTCATGTGCCTGTTGGCCATCTGTATATCTTCTTTGGAAATATGTCTGTTCAGATCCCCTCCCCATTTTTTAATTGGGTTGTTTGTTTTTTTGTTGTTGAGTTGTATGAGTCCTTTACATACTTTGGATATTGACCCCTTATCAGATATAAGATTTGCAAATATCTTCTCCCAATTGTTAAGTTGTCTTTTCATTTTGCTGATGGTTTCCTTTACTGTGCAGAAGCTTTTTAACCTGATATAGTAACATTTGTGTATGTAAAGGTAGTGTAAACTAGTACAAATCTCTATGGAAAACCATATGGTAACATCCATTGAAAACTAAAATTTACATACTCAATGACCCAACAATTTCAGTTTCAGAAAGTTTTCTTACAAATATACTCCCATATGTGCCCAAAGCATGCAAGGAAATTTACTGCAGTATTTGGTTACATAAGAAATAAAAAAGAAAAGAAATAAAAATTAGACACAACTGAAATTTCCACTAGTAAAGAATGGGTTAAGTCCATTATAGTACACCTGTACAATGAAATACTAGGCAATTATTAGCAATGAGGCTGCTCTGTTAATGTACTGACATGGAACAATTACTAAGATACGTTGTTAAGTGAAAAAAGTAAGGTGCAGACCAGCAGGATACTTGTTTAGTTAAAAATATATGCTGACTTATGAATATACTAGTCTGAGGAACAGGGATGGGAAGAAGACATAATTTTCAACCACATTCCCTGTTACAAAGTTTACCACATTTTTCAAATAGCTGCATAGCACTTCACTGTACAGATACTCTAATTTTATCTAACTTGTCCCCTAGAAATGAATGTTTATATTGCTTTCATTCTTTTGCTGTCCCGAATATCAGTGTATGCTTTTGTGCACACGTGTAAACTCAGTTCAGGCATTTGCTCAGAGATAGCGTGGGTTCGGTTCCAGACCACCACAATAAAGTGAATATCACAAAGTGAGTCACAAGAATTTTTTGGTTTCCCAGAGCATATAAAAGTTACGTTTACACTATACTGTAGGCTAGTTAAGTATGCAATAGCATTATGTCTAAAACAACGTACATACCTTAATAATAAAAAAAATGCTAACCATCATCTGAGCCTTCAGTGACCTGTAATCTTTTTGCTGGTGGAGGATCTTGCCTCGATGTTGATGGCTGCTGACTGATCAGGGTGGTGGCTGCTGAAGGCAGGGGGGGCCCTGGCAATTTCTTAAAATGAGACAACAATGAGGTTTGCCTCATCGACTGACTCTTCCTTTCACGAATGATTTCTCTGTAGCATGGGATGCTGTCTGGTAGCGTTTTACTGACAGAACTTCTTTCAAAACTGGAGTCAGTTTTCTCAAACCCTGCCACTGCTTTATCCACTAAGGTTATGTCATATTCTAAATCCTTTGTTGTCATTTCAACAGTCTTCACAGCAGCTTCACCAGGAGTAGCTTCCATCTCAAGAAACCACTTTCTTTGCTGAAACCACTTCCTTTGCTCATCCATAAGAAGCAATTCCTCATCTGTTAAAGATTCATCATGAGATTGCAGCAGTTCAGTCACATCTTCAGGCTCCACGTCTAATTCTAGTTCTCTCGCTGTCTCCACCACATCTGCAGTTACTCCCTCCACTGAAGTCCTGAACCCCTCAAAGTCATCCATGAGGGCTGGAATCAACTTCTTCCAAACTCCTATTAATGTCGATATTTTGACCTCTTCCCATGAAGTAAGAATGTTCTTAACAGCATCTAGTATGGAGAATCCTTTCCAGAAGGTTTTTGATTTACTATGCCCAGATCCATCGGAGGAATCACTATCTATGGCAGCTACAGCCTTGCAAAATGTATTTCTTAAATAATAAGACTTGAAAGTCAAAATGACTCCTGAATCCACAGGCTGCAGAATAGGTGTCGTGTTAGCAGGCATGAAAACAACATTAATCTCACTGTATATCTCCATCAGAGCTCTTAGGTGACCAGGTGCATGGTCAGTGAGCAGTAATATTTTGAAAGGAATCTTTTTTTCTGAGCAGGTCTCAACAGTGGGCTTAAAATATTCAGTAAACCATGTTATAAACAGATGTGCTGTCCCCCTGGCTTTGTTATTCCATTTGCAGAGCACAGGCAGAGTAGATTTAGCATAATTTTAAGGACCCTAGGATCTTCAGAATGGTAAATGAGCACTGGCTTCAACTTAAAGTCACCAACTGCGTTAGCCCCTACGAGAGAGTCAGCCTGTCCTTTGAAGCCAGACATTGACTTCTCTCTAGCTACGAAAGTCCTAGATGGCATCTTCTTCCAATAGAAACATTGAAAATTTGTTGTTCAGCGTAGCCACTTTCATTAACTATCTTAGCTAGATCTTCTGGATACATCAGCGTCCACATTTTTAAGCTTCCAATGACTTTGCATTAAAAATTATAAGTATAATACATACATATATATCTATGTGTGTGCATGCAAGCAGACCCAGGTATGTACATAGTTTCCTTAGACTACAACCCCAAAAGTGAAATTATCATATGGAACATGAACAATTATAGTTCTTTACAAATTCTGAGACATATAAAGGTCACCTACTTCTAAACACTATCTTTAAAAAGCTGAATTTATTTCATACCAGAGTAAAATTTATAGACAACATAAATGTCCAATAACTATGGAATATTATGCAGTCATTAAGAACCAAGCTCCTAAATAATTTTAAATTTGTAACAAAATGTTTATAACACGTTAACTCTATATATAACGTATATATACACTACTTTATATACACACCTATCTACCTATATAAAACATACACATGTGCACACATAGTATGAAACCAACTCTGTGAAAACATTTGCAGAGGAGTGGAAGACTACACACCAAACATTAACAGTGCTTATTTCTGGATGATGAGACTCTTCCTTTGATTTTAACATCTTCAAATTTTTCTACAATAAGCATGTATTACTTTAAAAAATATTTTTAATTACAAATAACTACATGTTCTACGTAAAGATTACAAACAAAACAAAAGTACACGAAGTTTCCCCATTTAGTGGACATGGCATAATTCACATGTCAATGCTATTTTTTTTTTCGCAGAACAGAATTCTACAAGTGGGAATAGAATACTCAGTCTTAGGGCTATGTATTTCAAATTGACAGGATTGTAAGTGAATGTGAAATTATATAAATAGAATTTTATATTCATTAGATTTTTTCTGTAGTTTTTGATTTTAAAATATTATTTCAATTAGAAATTACAAATTTAATATACTGTCACACTCAAAATTTCTAAAACTTTATGTGCCTTTTTTCTCTCAATGTTGTTTCTGAGATTTGTCCATATTATAACAGATCTAGATCCTCTTATTGGTTGTACAGTATTCAATTGTATGACAATGACATATTTTATTTATCTATTCTCCAAAACATGGATATATAGGTGGTTTTCAATATTCAAAAATGCAATATTCAAAAATGCCAGGAATTATAATAGCTAACACATGTAGTATTTACTATGAGCCAGACACCGTTCTATTATTTTATGTGTATAATTCACTCACTCTATACAATAGTAACTACTATTATCCTCATTTTACATAGGAGGAAACAGAGGTACTGAGAGGTTAAATAACTTGTCCAAGATTACACAGTCAGTAAAATGGTGAAGTTAGATTTGAACCAGGTGGTCTGGCTCTGAAGTCTGTGCCCTTAACCTTCTAGCACGTCTTCTGACGCCACAAGCCAGAGTGAATCCAGAAGGTATCATGAGAAGCAGCACTTCAAGGTTGTAAGATACGAGCATTTTGTCCAGTTGTACTAGATATATCACACTGCTTCCCAAAATGGCTAAACATATGAAAACTACCATCTGAAAGGTATGGATCTCTTCATATGTCTTAACATCTGATATCATAAGACAGTTTTATTTTTGCCATTTAATTCATGAGTGGAAAACAGCATTCCCATTTTGTGTCTCTTTCATTCCTAATAACAGATTTTTTCCCCCTATTTAATGAATGGAATTTTCTCTTCTGTGAACTGCCAGTTCATCCCTTTGCCCATTTTTTAATTAGTTTGTCTGTTTCCTTAACCTTTTGTAGGAATTCCTTATAAAGTTCTATCACTCCTCTGTTTTATATGGTGTATCTTCTTCCATACTGCTGCTTACCTTTTAACCTGCTCATGGTATCTTGTTTTACAAATTTTAAATTCTGATATATTCATCTATCAATTTTTGATCAATAGGTCATAGCTATCTATCTCTTCTTTTGTGGTTTCTAATCACGATACATGTAAGAATTTAAAATACTGATGTTTTTACCCTGCAAAAAAGGTTTTATTAAACTATTTTTAACCCCAAGAGAAATGTATGATTGCATCAGTTTCTCCAATATTTTGTTGTAGGTACTTTATGAATCTGAAAAAGCTGTGGTTTTCATTTCTCTGATCACTAGTGAGGTTAACGTCTCTTCATAGATATTTTTATTTCTTTTAGTTAATTATCTCTTCACATATAATACCTCTCACAGTGTGGAAATTTTGCATTTTTATGCAGTTTTTTCTTCTGATCTCTTCCTTAATTTTGAGTTTTATATCTCGCCTAATAACTCCTTCTTCACCTTTGCTCCTAGTATGTTTAGTTTTGTTTTAGAACTTTAATTCATCTGTAATTTACTTTCATGTAAAATATGAAATAAGGATATAATGTTACTTATATCCAAATGCAAAGTTGACTGTTATAAAACCATTATTTGATTAATCCATCTTTTTCATATAGGTATGAAATGTCCTTTTAATCAAATATTAAGTTCCCATCTATACTGATGATCTATTTTCAGATTCCTTATTAATTTATTTATTTCTGCACCAATTTCACATGTTATTTATTAAGTTTAGTAGTACATTTTCATATTTGATAAGGCAAACCCTCACACCATTATTCTTCCTTTACAAACATTTCTTGGCATTACTTCATAATCAGAAAAAAACAATAAATCCTTTTTGTACAAGAGGAATGATCTTGGATAACAAAGACTTAACTGAAAGAAATATATATATATGTACACACACAGAACTACAAAATTAGCATTCCATTTTATTCATTTACCCTTGCTTAGAAGAACAACTAACAATTGAGATTTGCATGACCTTCAATTTACAAAGCATTTCCACATTCATTGTGAAAGAATGATACTTTGTCAAAGAAAATAATCCACTCATTTTAATATCAGTAAATATTCCAGCTGAGCCTAACACTTCATTTTCAAAATGCTCATGTCTCAGCAACCAAAGTTTATTCTAAATAAAACAGTAACTCATTTATGTTTTATCTTACTTGCACATTAAATAGTAAATGTAACGTCCAATCACACAGTAGCTATCATGTATTATAATGTAACATTCATTACTTAGAATATGTCCATTCTTGGAATAAAATAACACTTTTAATCATGAAAATAAATTACAAAAAAACCAATATATTAGTTTAAGTCATTTAGATCTTTATTAGACAAATATCTGTCATCTATCATCTATCTAGCCACATAGTTGTGAATTTCAACTTTTCTACTAAGTTTGACTTACAGACCTTTTCCTAAATAAAAATAAACTTACATTTTTCACTATAAATGATCTGGACCACTGGATTGGGGCCATCATTCTGCGGCACTGGATCTATATCAGCCCATTCTGCTCTGTCCCTGAAAATATATATATTTTTCAGTGATTATATTCAAACAGGCAAGAAGAAAAAGAAATCTGGTGTTTTAAAAAACGACAACAATTACACTTACATTAATATTAGTAACTTATAAATATCTTAATGTAATCATAGTTGGATTCTTCATGACTGAGTTTTGCTACTTTGCTCTACACAATAAACTTTAAAAGTAAAACGAATAATCTTCCAATTAAAATAAGTTAATAAATCAATAGTTTTCAAATTTAAAGTTTTTATATAAGTGGAAAAACATGTTTTTGCAGCAAGTACACAATAGTTTTAAATTAGAAATCAGGGCCGGCCCCGTGGCTTGGTGGTTAAGTGAGCGTGCTCCACTGCTGGCGACCCGGGTTCGGATCCCGGGCGCGCACCGACGCGCTGCTTCTCCGGCCATGCTGAGGCCGCGTCCCACATACAGCAACTAGAAGGATGTGCAGCTATGACACACAACTATCTACTGGGGCTTTGGGGGGAAAAAATAAATAAATAAATAAATAAAAAAAAAAAAAATTAGAAATCAACCCAATTCATTGGTCTAATAAGACTCTTTGGAGTCAGTTACCATTTTAAAAAATTTGAATTACTATTTACTAGGAACTGACATTTTATTTATTTATTTATTTTGTGAGGAAGACTAGCCCTGAGCTAACATTTGCCAATCCTCCTCTTTTTTGCTGAGGAAGACTGGCCCTGGGCTAACATCTGGGTCCATCTTCCTCTACTTTGTATGGGACGCCTGCCACAGCATGGCTTGATGAGGGGTGCATAAGTCCGAGGCCGGGATCCGAACCAGCGAACCCCAGGCCACTGAAGTGGAGTGCACAAACTTAACCACTACACCACCAGGCTGGCCCCAGGAACTGACATTTTAAAATCAAAGTAAACACTATTAGTTTACTGTATACTGAAAGGTGGTCCAAGTGGTCATCAGAGAGCAGGCTCTGGGCTCCAACAACTGTCTGAGCTGTAATACTGGCTCTACCATTTACTAGCTGTGTGACCTTGAGAAAGTTACTTAACCTCTCTGGGCCTCAGTTTTTTCATTTATAAAATGTAGATGATATTATTACCAACTAAGCTTAGAAGGCTGTTTGGAGGATTAAGTGAGATAACATGTTAAGCACTTAAAATGTGCAAAACAGTAAGCATATAGTATATGGTAAATATATGTATATATGTAATATATATATACACACACCAATATACATATATCAGCATATAGTATATAGTAAATATACTATATAATACAGTCACACAATGCTTAACGACAGGGATACATTCAGAGAAATGCGTTGTTGGTGATTTCGTTGTGTGAACATCATAGAGTGCACTTACACAAACCTAGACGGTACAGCCTACTACACACCTGGGCTCCATGGTACTAATCTTATGGGACCACTGTTGTATACAAAGTCTGTCACTGACTGAAACGTTATGTGGCACGCGACTGTATAATATTACTGTATGCTTAAATATATGTGCTATATGTTATAAATACAGCATATAATAAATGCATATAGTAAGCATCCAGTGAATACTATTTCTCATTATCAGTGCTAAAACAACACTATAGTGGCAGCAATAGGTGCCTACAGACACTTCTGTGTGAACTGCCCAGTGTGACCACATTTGTTTTAACCACCCTTTTACTTATATTCTTTTCCTTTCACCCATTTTTAGTTCTCTATACTGCTCAGCTATTGACAACAAAGATTCTGTGCCATCCAGACAATCCTGAAATTGTGTTCACTGTGTAAGGAGAAATACAGGGGAAACAATTACCTGAGATGTGAGACCTAGAGCCCGGGGAAGCGGCATGAGAAAGGTACAGCTGTCAGTCCAGCACTCGGAAATCAGACACAGCCAAGTGAAGATGAATACCTTACAATTCAGAGGAGCTTTGAGGGTTACCGGGCCACCACAACCAGTTTAAATCAGTACAACACTAACTCCAAATACAAAATCTGGATAGTGCCTACCACTCATTCATAAAACCAAGGCAAATAAGCCATCTAACGGGTTTACCTAGAACTACAGAGAAAAAATAAGACAACAGAAAAAGAGAGACGACTTCTCAATCGTCTCCGCAGGTTCAGCTGGAGGCAGGGAATCAGCATTACTATCAGAAAGCAAAGAACTGATGGGGATGGGACCGGGTGTTGGCCAAGACTGGCAGAAAAGGCAAGAAAGTCACAGCAGTACCCACACCGCCCACACATCACGTGCACTAGGTACGAAGTGATGTACGATGTACAAGGTTTAAGGAACAATCAGCTTCACCCTTACAACCTAACTCGGTGCCTGGCTGATGCTGGGCGCTGAAACGTAGAATGACAATGTCCCAGTCCTCAAAGATCTCATACTAGATCTCCGCGGCAGCAGAGCCAACCATGGGAAGCCCTTACACCTCGTTTTCAAGTGAGCGAATCGGGACCTTATTTAAATCACCAGTTTCTGCCAGGGGGTCAAAGTGCGCCCAGTCAGACCCCTCTCAGGCTGGCGCTGCGGGAGCACGGGAGAGGGCGGGACACCTCGCGCACCCCTGACTCCCGACGCCCGACAGCCCGGCGCCCTGCGGCCTCCCCCGCCTCTCGGCGACCGCCGGGCTCCGGGGCGCAGCACCGAAGGGGAGC